TAGGATATGCATTCCATATATTGAAACAATATCTTGTGAGCAGAATACTTTATGCCCAGCTGAGATAGATCTTCAGATGAATATGAGACATGATGTCAATTGGTCAGAGATACAGAACCAGGATCCAGTACTAAAAGCTTGGAAAGAACATGTACGTAGAGGAAAGAAGCCAAAGCGAGAAAATTTGCCAAATAGTCCATTTTTCAAACTTTTTGATCAGCTTATATTGGAAGATGATACATTGTACAGGAAAACAATAGTACAGGATAAAGAGAGGAAACAGCTTATACTGCCATCACTACATATTAACAATGTACTAGAAGCATTACATGACGAAATGGGCCATCAAGGGCGAGACAGAACAACCAGCCTTATTCGTGACAGATTCTATTGGCCTGGAATGACAACTGACATCGACAACTGGATTAGCCACTGTCAAAAGTGTATCAAGAGGAAAAAGGAACCTAGTATTGCACCACTAGTGAACATTCAGACAACTCAACCCCTAGAACTTGTTTGTATTGACTTTCTTTCGCTAGAAAAATCTAAAGGAGGCTATGAAAACATTTTAGTTATAACAGATCACTTTACCAGATATGCGCAAGCTATACCGACCAGAAACCAAACAGCAAAAACTACTGCAGAAACTTTGTTCAACTATTTTATTGTAAATTATGGAATACCACAAAGAATTCATTCGGACCAGGGGGCAAATTTTGAGAGCAACTTAATCAAAGAATTATGTAACTTAACAGGAATTGATAAATCCAGAACTACTCCCTATCATCCGATTGGCAATGGCATGACGGAGAGATTCAATCGCACTCTATTAAATATGCTTGGAACTTTAGATGCAAACAAGAAACAGAACTGGAAATCACATGTTGCAACTATGGTACATGCCTACAACTGTACTAAACATGAATCTACAAGAGAGTCACCTTATTTCCTCATGTTTGGGCGAGAACCAAATTTACCAGTGGATATCGCATTTGGTTTAACAAGAAAAGAAAATAAAAAACCTAATACCAAATATATTCAAGATTTAAGAGAGAGACTATTGGAAGCATACAGAGTGGCCACAGAACAGATACAGAGAGCGCAGAAGAAACAAAAAGACAGATATGACTTAAGATCCAGAGGAACAGTGGTACAACCTGGTGATAAAGTTCTCGTAAAGATCGTAGCATTTGATGGCAGGCATAAACTGGCCAATAAATGGGAAGATGATATATATGTAGTGATAAAACAGCCTAATCCAGAGATTCCTGTTTATACAGTGAAGAAGCAGAATGGTCAAGGCAAGGAAAGAACACTACACAGGAACCTTTTATTTCCTATCGGATTCATATCGGAGGATAATGTTAATTCCACAAAGATTTCAACACAAACAGAAAGGAAAACAAGACCAATTCCAAAGCCTAGAACAAAATCTAAAGCTATAATTCATGAAAGCTCATCAGAAAAAGATGATTCAGAAGAAGTCATTGTAGTTACTGAGGATAGTCTGACTTCATCCAGTCATGACAAAGATGTTCAGTTTTCTACAGAAGATGTTGTTACAGAATTAGAAAGAAGCGCTTCAGATACAGAAATTGGTGAGATAGATGAAACAGAAAACACCGGTGTTGAAAAGAGTATGGACGACACTGTTGAAGATAGTATTGAAGATACTGTTGTAGATGAAGACAGTGCTACAGATGTTGATGAAGGGAATATTGATGATGATGAGTTACATGAAGCCGAGGCTGAGGAAGTTGATTCTGCAGTCAAAGCTGACACTGAAGATGAAGCCGAGGCTGAGGAAGTTGATTCTGCAGTCAAAGCTGACACTGAAGTTGAAGCCGAGGCTGAGGAAATTGATTCTGCAGTCAAAACTGACACTGAAGTTGAAGCAGCAGAAGTAGTTGATGAAGAGGAAGTAGTCCCTAGGCGTTCAATCAGAAAGAAAGGAAGGCCAAAGTGGATGACTACAGGTGAATTTGTGTCGAAATCCTCTATAACAAAAGATCGTGAGTGGAGAGAAAAAGCAGATTATGCTGTGCAATTAATTAAGAGTGGTGTAATTAAAGAGACACCAAATTCTACCGATGCAATTTTACAAATCATTTTAAAATCGTAATGGATGTTTGCTGATATATGAACATTTTTTTCAAAATGTAATTCAGGGAAATCATGTTTAATGTTTTCATTTACCAGGATGATTAGCATGAAATGACATGGAAGTCATTTATTGAACGAGGGGGAGTATGTAGTAGTGTGTGAGTTGATTTATTTTAACAGATTATAAAATAAATTTAATTTAAAACATTTATCATTTACAGTAACAGCTTTCCATAAATTTATTCTCATTCTATTTAAATATGTCAGAAATGGATTTCCATACCAGTTCTGGTCAGTTTTTCATAGATCATTGAATTCTTGTTTTGGTTGGCTGAAAGTTTAAGTCATGTGATTTTTATCTTGAAGTTTCTATTAATATTATTATTTTTCAAATTGAGTCTGGAATGATCAGTTTGGTCATTCAGTTCTTGTGATATATTGATCTTGGACTTTATTTATCCATAGAAGGTCAGTTGATTTTAATATTATAAATACATTCATTTGATGAATAGTAAAAGTGAATGTGTGAATCATTTTTTTATAAATTAATAAGTAAAGAGTATATTATGATATTTGTTATTATTCAGATCCACTTGATATGATGTACATGTAGCTGAATTGCTGTATATATAACAAGGGTCTGATACCATATATTGGACTGTTGAATATTGAATATTGGATATATAAAGGATTGAAACACCAACAATATTTGTTACTTTGTGAACCCGGTAACAATAATAACTCAACTTTTGCTTAGGGTAAAATATCTAGTGATATCTTTACCCTATGAAAGGTAGAAAGGTATATATACAGTCTGTATTTGTGAATTTTTTATACGTGTCTTATTCAAATCCATTAATGGATAATCTTAGATTTGTATTTAACATTGTTGGTGATAGTGGGTCCCCCAATAAATTAATAAATTACCAACATATACCGGGCTGTACATACATGTACATTTCTAAATTCGCTAGAGTCTCCACCTACTGTTTACCCCACATCGGGTTCGGAGTTCTCCGAATTCTTTCGTTGACGGGCAGGTTGAGGTTTGTTTCAATGTTTGAAAATTGATTTGTGTATTAATTAACTCCATTAAGGTCATTCTATTTTATATGTGGATTCTCTTTCATATGGTTTGTCCTCTTCTAAATGATATACACTCTCAGTTTATGTAGATTTTTATTGGCTTGAGCCATCTTAGGAAACCGAAAAACGAATAACTGTGAATAAACAAAGCCAAAGGATTAACGATTATTTTTTACTAACAAAAGAAAGAGCTTGAAAGTAGCAATGATCCTCCAGTTATTAAGAATAATAACGTTTTGGAAATCATGATGAAAATCGCACTGATCTTTATTCAGTTTCTATATTAGATGAAAATTCTTTTTGTTTTAATGATTTTTTTAAATCAATAGATCTAATTCATACAGAGTTATCTTTCTTTCGAATGATTATTTGTAAGGCATTTCATAACCACATGGCAAATATATGCCCAACACAATGTATTCATAATTTAACTTGAATATTAAACAAGTTAAAGTAGACCTTTTTTTCATTACAGATTATACATAGAAAATTTTCTGTGATGTGAATTTGTTTTTTCAAAAATTAATTTAAGAGTTGTTGTTTGATCTGTTTAGCTCCGTTGGTAGGTCACAATCAGTGAACCACACTTGGCCCCTTGTTATTGCCTGAAAATAACTGTCATAAATTAACCTTTTCTCAAGGTTGTAGAGAAATTACATGTAACAGATATATGCTACAGTAACCGCTGTTGCAAAGAGATCCAATGAGTTACAGTCCGATTAAAATCAGACCTTCACTAGCTATTTTATATTTTGATTGTCGCATGACAGAGTATTCAGACTGAATAAATCACAAACTTCATCAATAAATTATCGATGAATTTAAATCAGTTTCCTCTAATTTTTACTGTGTTCACTAGGAAAAGGATAGAGGTACATCAGCAAATTGGTTGGAAAAGATAACTTAGGGGTCGGATTACATTGCACTTTTTCTAATGCATGAGGTATAATTCAACAAGGAGTATCATTCGATTGTGACATCATAAGACACTTCTGACCTATTTGATCATTGTTAACGTGATAAAGCATGTTAAAACTGTGGTTATTTTTATGGAATCATTGTATTATTTTTTTCAGTTGCCAACCGTATAATGACAAAAGACAAGTGCTGTTAATAACTTAATATTCCTTTTGCATTGTATATGCCCTTTATTTATTTATAATTACAAAAACTAACTTGTTTTCAAATATCCCATAATAGTTGGCTGCTTTAATTGCAAGGTGTCCTATATATATTCCTGGTTTCAGAATGTGTATACAGCTGTATTTCCATTTCACATATTAATTTTACACCTTAAGGATTTAAATTCTTTTAAATATTTCAGAATCTATGCTTTTTGATGGTTTTGGAGGCATCTTGTTTAATCTCTACTGTGGACAAACACAGTTTAAGTTACACAGTTATTATGAACTCAGGTCTTACAAACTCGTATACCTCTAAAAGGGCCCATGGCAATTGGAGCCATTATGTAGACATACTTTCCTGTAGAATAATCAAAACAAGAAGGTCATATTTTTGAAACGCTAGTTCTAATCCAACAGTAAATGATGGTAAAAAAAAAATTGGGGAGATGAAATAACAACAAAATAACTTTTTTTCTTCTTCTATTTTTCTCTATATATCAAAGTACAGAAGTAGCAGTTTAACTAACTGATATTCGCAACATTCAATGATAAACCAGTTAATCAGATACTTAATAAGAACACTAATTATTATATATTCTTTATTAATACTTTCAGATAAAACTTGCCAAGAAATGTGTGTCTATGGGAAAAAAAAAATAAAAAAAGTAAATTAAACCTAGTGTTTCAACACGACCTCTACAATTGTCACGACAGGTAAAATTTCACTTTTTTTTTCCACATCAATATTCACATTTACATTCTATTTTGCCTTAATAAAGACTTGCATGTATATGTGTAGGGATCACTTTCAATGGTGTGCATAGTTCTCTCAAATTGAAAAAAACAAACAAAACTTTTACACTACTGGTGGAACTTACAGGAAACTTGATCTTTCTTAGGAAAAAAACACAATGTAATATCTATATTCTGAAGAAAAAAGTGCATGTTTGTTTACACACACACATATATATATTTATCCCATGTTTACCCCTTTATCCCGTGGATATGACTCATTGGATATTTTTTTCATAACCCACAGTTAAGTGCAATTGTGACGTCACAATGGTTTTTGCGTTAGCGTGATGAAGTAAAATAAAGTGGAGTGTCCTATATAAAACAGTGTAAAACATTGGTTGTGAAGTATTAAACATGGGATAAAAAGGATCTCCCATGATTTGTAGTTGGATATGACTTTTATCCAACTCATTGTGTTTTTTATCCCCTTGCCAAGGCTCGGGGATAAAAAAACACACAACTCGTTGGATAAAAATCATATCCAACTACAAATCATGGGAGATCCTATATATATATATATATATATATATATATATATATATATATATATACATGTATATGTATTTTTTCATAGATTTTTTAAGTCAATCACTATTGGTTATCTTCACCTTTTTCATCCAGTAATGACAACCTTGTTATATGGATGTTTTGTACAAAATTGACTAAATCTTCTGGCTTTATTTACTCTGTATACATTTCAGACTACAGTGTATCTCTCTATTTCGTTACAGTAATGTTTTCCTCACATATGAAACACCTTGGTGTGCATGATAACTAAATAATCAAATATGACATTTAAGAAATGAATTTAATTTTTGAGAGTTCGTGAGGACATGAACTACGACGCTTCACGCCAGCATATTTCATGAAGCGCGTTAGCGCTTCATGATAAATATGCCGGCGTGAAGTGTTGTAGTTCATGTGCCTCATGAACTCTCAAAAATTAAATTCATATCTTATATTTACATTATTTGTCTAATGACTTGTCACTAATTTATGTCATTCAACGATCATTTTTGAAACAAAACAGTTTGCACTATAGATTTACGTCAAGTACGGTATTATGACGTCACAATGGAGATATTCTTGCTCATCCATGGTAGTTCATGAGAAAATGAACAGCATTCTTATTTGCAAAGAATCTAAAGGAAAAATATTTGGAAATGTAAATATTAAAATATATACACAAAATGTAATATACATACATGCAGCTTTTGACCAGTTGACTTTTTTTCTTCTTTTTTTGTAAAACGAAAAATAATTCTGTAAATGAAACATAAATTTTAATTTCTCAATAATGAAGAACAATTTAAGTAGAGATTGTTTTCTTAGCTATGAATATAAATTCATTTTGAAAACATGAAAATGAAATGTCATGCCACCCAGAATAACTCACAGTATGAACATGATGAAAAAACAAAATGTTTTGGTATTTGCTATTTTAGGGCAAGAGACCTTCTAACACAATGTTGGAATCATCTTGTTGATGAAGAAGTAAAAGAACAGGTTGGTAACATTTTGAGATGGAATTCAAAAGTACAAAATATAACTATTGAACCATTCTTTTTTCCCACAATAAATGTACACTTTTAGATCACCCGAGCTAAAGGCTTCTACTGATTGAATTTGTCTGTGGTTGTCTTCCTTGCTGTTATAAACTTTTAGCATTTTTTACTTCTGCATGAAAATCACTTCTTCACCCAAGCTTAGCACAAAGCATCTTTGCATGAAGGGGATTCAGATTTATTCAAATAATGGACAGAACCCTCTTAGAAGGGGGAAAATCATAGAAAGCAAAAATAAGATAGATTTCTTAAAAAAAATTCTTTTTTTTTTCAAGAACCACTGAGCCAGAAATGATGAAACATAAATATGAAGGTAATTGACAAAGTGCTAGATTCAAATCAAATGTTTTAAAATCATAAACCTAGATTATAGGATGGAGCCACAATAGGAAATATAAGTCTAACAGCAGAATATATAGCAAAAATTAAAAGATCATCATCATCTTAAGAACATAACATGCAAGCATCCTCAGGTACATGTAGTGTAGATTTAGATTTATTCAAGTCGTGGTCCCTCAGGGTTCAACACTAACATTAGTCTGTTAGTCTCAGACTAATACATTTTCATTCGAACTAATAAAATCTGTAACTATTTAGTCTGAATTAATAAAAATTTCTGGAAAACACTATGGATAAATTACTGATGTCTGATTCTAGAAAACTTTTACTGGAAAACCCTAATGTATTTTTAGTTTTTCTAGCTCTTGGCAGGTAATCTCAGGGAGATCCGTAGAGAATAAAAATTTTGGTCTGGTATTTCTACGGATCTCAGACCAGTATCACATAATCTCATTCGGGGTTTAGTGCCCGAACTTCGAAGCTATTCGTTTAAACCTCCGATGCTGAAGAGTTCCAGCAATAGTCTGCTTCAAATACTTGGTTCTACTAATTTTTCCTATAGAAATGAACCATATTACGAAGTATTTGAAGCAGATTATTGCTGGAACTCTTCAGCATCGGAGGTTTAAACGAATAGCTTATTGCTATGAAAAATCAGCAACTTTATATTTTGATGGATTTAAACCTTTCAGAGGCAAGAAACGAAAGTTTTATGGTGATAGGGAATTAAAAGGATGTCCAAAGCAAAAAGTTGAAGCGGACAGCTAATTCATTTTAGCCCGTATTAATCGAAACAAGCGGTCGAAGTCCGGGCACGAAACCCCGAATGAGATTATGTGATACTGGTCTGAGATCCGTAGAAATACCAGACCAAAATTTTTATTCTCTACGGATCTCGCTGAGATTATTGGCAGGTAGTTACATTGTAGGTAATTTTGAATGGTTGATATGAAGTTAAATGTTTTAGTGATCATGATTTAGCATGAAGCATAAAAGAAGGAGGTCAAACGTTTGGGGTTTAACATTTAGAGATAAAGAACAAGATCAGGAATATGATCGTACTTCCTGATTGCAAGATTTCAATGATTCTGTGGAATAAAATGCATCAACTACATGTTTCAAATTATTTCAAAAAAGAATCAGTGATGATTCTGTTCCAATATTTAGTGGAATTCCGCTAATTTGAATCCAAGAGTTGGACATTAACGGATGATTTCCGATATTTTGGTACTTTCCATTTTTACAGCAATCGTTTCCGTTTCTTTCCGGGTAAAAAATTCAAGTTGTTTAGTCTGGGTTTTGATGTAGTCTGCATCATCCAGACGTTTGCTTTTATATCCAAGAAAGGTAAACACAAACGTATGGATGATTCAGACTTCCTTACATTGGCCGTTCATTTAACCAGGTCAGGATGTATAAGTTGTTGAACAAACTGTCACACATCATTTTTTTGTCACTCATTTAAACCTTTTTAAGTCTCGCTACAGCCCATATTTCAGAATTCCCTTGACCCCCAATCTATTTCAGATATTTTGGCCAATTCACAGAATCAGCACTGAAGTATAAAAAGTACTTTGTAATGTTTATTTAAACAATAAAATGCTTTCTTTGGTTGTTAGTATGGGAATTAATGTTGCAGAAAAAAAAATTCTGCTATAGCTGCAATGTTCATTCCCATACTAGCAACAAAAGAAAGCATTTTATTGTTTATATTTACGTCTATATAAATAATTATCTAAAGTAGGATTAAGTAGGTTAAATATTGTATTATTGATATGTATGTCTTTGTATGTTTCATTGATGGAACAGGTACTGCTGAAGAAATCATACAGGTGCTATGCTTAGCAGTATTTACCGACTGATAAACTATCAGCGTTTTCTTAAGAAATAAAGGAGATAATGTTCAGAGATTTAAATATATTTAAATCAATCATTACAAAACATCATTACATTACATTGATGATTCCTTTTTTAGGTCACCTGAGTCACTCAGGTTACCTATTGCAATCTGCATTTGTCCGTTGGTCGTAAACCTTCGAACATTTTCATATTTTTCTCTTGAACCACTGAACCAATTTCAAACAATTTTGGCATATAGCATCTATGTGTGAAGGGATACAAAATTTTTTAATTTCATGGTCCCTGCCCCCCCTCCCCCCCCCTCCCCCTTTGGCCTGAGGGGTGGTGCTAAAACCATCAAAATTAGTGCTATATTTAAAGATCTTCTTCTTTACTCCTGGACATCAAGCACTCAAATTGTTGATATACCGTATAACGGGTATTTTCTGCGGTTGGAAATTTTTGCGATTTAACCCCTTAAAGGTTGCAAATTAATTTCTGCGTTTTCAATTTTTGCGGTTGCACTATAACGCAAAAATTTATTTATGGAGTATGATCATGCACTAAACTTTATGAATTATCAGAAAGCTGTGAGAGTCATGTTTACGTTTTATAAATTCTTTTAGCTAGTTTTTGTAAAAATATTTCGAGCTCCAATTGAAATGAATTAATGTAGTGTCAGTCCACCCAAACAACAATACAAATCTTTATTCTAACAGACGTTTTATGCGATCTATTAAAATACTAGTATTCAAATATATGTAGATAATGATAACAAGCATTCTGAGAGTATTGCATTAGCAATACTAGTTCCCTACCGGCAAGTGTAGTCTGGTTCCCATTAAAAATTGAAATGCCATAATTCCGTCAAAAATCAATGAAGCCGAACGAAATGCAAACTTGATCTATAACTCAGTCACATACCAAAAATCAGTTCAATATCTGCAAGTGTTTAGAAAAAAAGTGCAGAAAACCCAGAAAAATTCAAAAGGTTGTAATTCCGTCAAAAATCATTGAAGCGGAACGAAATGCAAACTTAATCTGTAACTCATCAAGATACACTCACATACCAAAAATCAGCTCAATATCTGCAAGCGTTTAGAAGAAAAGTGCGGAAACCCAAGTGGGACAGACCGACAGACAGACAGAGGGACAGACAGACAGACGGACAGACTCAGAGGAAACCTATAGTCCCCTCCGGTTTCACCAGTAGGGGACTAATAAATGCATCCAAGGCATATTCTAAAATACATTTCTAGTTAACTGCCATCAAAATTAATTTAGTGTTTATATTTTAAGCTAAAACAAACAGTTGCATAATGAAATACCCCAAAGTTGACGGTTAACAATCACAGGTGTCATGTGCATTGAGGCGTAACTAATCCTGTCAGTCTTCTGCATTAGGTGACATTCACGAGACAATCGATCCAGATTGTGTATACAAGCAGTAATTATTGTCTCAATATAAAACACGTTTAAAAAAGAAAAGCTACCATGTGTTGTTTGCAGCTATCGGAGTTTGGACAAATAATTGCGAAATAGGTACAAGTATAGATGTTTTTGTATCATCTTATTTAATTGATATTATTTACAGCTAGGAAGATTTTGATTCAATATGTTTTGGACAAATCCTGACATCTAAAATCTTTGAATTTCGATGACACCCGAATTTTCTCGCTAACGAGGATGTGGCCACTCATGAGTCTGCGGACGCATCGATTTGCATTCCAAATAATTTTGCTGTGTCCAGTATGCAGGTTCTTATGTTAATGAGAACCCTGTCAGACATACGCACCACTTGTCATAATTGCATGTACAAAATATCTGAATGAATATTGCAAAAAATATTTTGCAATTGTAATTTTTGCGGATTTGTCCTATCCGCAAAAACTGGACAACGGCAGAAAATACCAGTTATACGGTAGTTGTAATATTTAAAGCATTGAACCCTTTACCAAAATTTTGAAATTCATGGCCCCAGGGTCAGGGGTGGGGCTCTAATGATAATATAGTGAAAGTATATTAATTCTTTAAAAATCTTCTTTCTACCCATATATATTTAGAAAATTTACTAGGCACATGATTATGATGAGCAAGGGTGCCTCTTCCAAATTTGTGAAATTTATGGCCTGAGGGTCAAGGGATTTGGCATTAGGGCAGGGCTCTAATGATTATCATGTTCATCGTGAAAATGCATAAATTCTATAAAAGTCTTCTCTCCCCTGTATAATTTAGCAGACAAACTAAGTGCATGCTTTTGATAAGCAAGGTTGCCTCTTTCAAAATTGTGAATTTTTTGCCCCAGGGTCAGGGGTTCTGGAGTTCGGGCTGGACTCTAATGATCATATAGTGAAAATGCATAAGTACTTTTAAAATCGTCTTCTCTCCCCCTGTATATTTAGAGGATAAGCTAGGTATCTGATAATGATGTGTAAGGGTGCCTCTTCCAGAGTTGTGAAATTTATGGCCCCAGGGTCAGGGATTATGGAGTTAGGGTGGAACTCTAATGATCATACAGTGAAACTGTATAAATTTCTTTGAAAATCGTCTTTTCTGCTCTCGGGCATTAAGCAAACAATCATACTAAGTGCATAGTTATGATTAGCAAATGTGCCTCTTCCAAAATTGAGATAACAAGAGAGACCAATGTGAGAGGGAGTGCAATTGGTATTCTAATAGTGCTGAAGCACTTTTGTTTTGTATAGTCAGAATGGGGATAGTGACGAATGGGGGCAGGTACAGACAAGTAAATAGATCTGCTTTAACATTTGTTACTGAGTAATAGACTAATTATTTTGTTAATCTCAGATCATCTGATTTCTCTTGCTTTTGGGCAACATAGCTTCAATCATCCATCAGTTTATTTTTGTTTTATTTTATACTTCTTTGGATCCTTTACAATGTTGTATTATACTCAGATGACCATTTTAAAGCCCTTGGGACTCATGTTTCATGGACTCATAAAACCGCGTGCAGACTAGTATAAGTAAAGAAACACTAGCCTGGCTGGATTAAAAGCCAGAAAATGTTAGTCTCAATTCCTGTCCCGGGGGGGGGGGGGGGGGGAAGAGGCCACATGAGGGATCAGACTTTTACATATAATCAGTCTTGGGCATCATGGAAACAAGTTTTTATTTTAAAAATAATTTATAATAATTTAATTTTGTTTGTATTCTAGCCTCTGATTGGTTAATATCCAAAAAGGAACACAAATTATTTCTCTATAACCTGGTTTGGTATGGGGACACACCCCCCTGACAACCAGCTGAATCATCTGTATGTATACAATCCTCTCATTTCCAGTCCTCGGGATTCATGGAAAATTACAGAATTAATAAATATACCTTTAACTTCAAACAATAATTCGATCTTACCACATGTAAACAAGATGCTAGGCCTATGTATCAGTTTTTACCTCCCCTCGCTTCCCATCACTTCCGTTACTTCCGTTACTACGGTTGTATTATTGAGCGGTAAATTTGAACTAATAAAAACCAACGAAATTTTACACCCATAGTTATTTAATGATTTTAAAATTAAATTATAAGGAATGACCCTAATTCTTGGCCAAATTATTCGAGTATAACCTGGTTTGGGTCAGTTTACGCTGTTTTATAATCCGCTTCGCGGATTATAAATCGTAAAATGACCCAAACCAGGTTATACTCAAATAATTTGGCCAAGAATTAGAGTCATTCCTAAAATACCGTAAATCTGGAAATTTTTACGTTGATTTATTTTTGCGAATCTGGGGCAAAAAGGCTGTTGATAAAATTTTGCGTTTAAAATTTTTGCGAATCGTCATTTGAACTAAAATGTAAAAAGCTCTTAAAATTTTCTTTTAAAAAGTTTTAAGTTACGTATGTACATACAATAAATTACGAATAAACATACAATATTAAACTATGCCAACGTTCAATAATCAGATAAAAATATTAGAAAAAGGTAAATCATCCAAAGTGTTGAACTATTCCTAACATTTTCATAAATCACACATATACATAATATCTACATAATATATTTAAGGAATGAATTTAATAACTACCCATTTTATATGGTATAAACTGGGTTGGGGCAGTTTACGCTTTATAAACTGCGAAGCGGTTTATAAAAAAGCGTAAACTGTTCCAACCCAGTTTATACCGTATAAATTGGGTAGCTATTAAATTCATTCCTTATAATTTAATTTTCATTCATTTGGTGTTAGAAAAAAAAAATGATTGTCCTTAAAAAATGACTACAATTTGTTCAAAATTTGAATGTAACGTCAGGCGGATCGATACGTTTTTGACGCAAGTCATTGTGACGTAGGCAATCCATTTTATACAATGAAATATATGGAGATAACGAACAGTATTCAAGCTCAAAAGTCCATTATACAATACAAAATAGGAGCAGAGCAAACACGGACCTCCAAACATCAGAGGTGGGATCAGGTGCCATGGAGGAGTGAGCATCCCCTGCCGACCAGTCACACCCGCCGTGTGCTCCTTGTCATGATCGGGAAATAACAGAAAAATCCGTCGACAATTCAGTGTGTAAATAATGGCCTAACAATTAGTATGAAAAACGTCAGTCAGCATTTGACTCATTGATAAATTGTATTTGCTGACAAGGTCATTGTATCGACCATAGAACTTACGAAATGATGACTTTAAATGAGACAGCTGATATTCTTGTTTCATCAACTTATTTGTCAATAATTTACCTCGTTTTAGAAATTGTACATACGTAGAGCATGCTCTTGCGTATCGAATCAACTGAGAGATATATACCCCGTATGCAGGTGATGAAGGTATATTGCTGCATAAGTAAGGGAAGTTGACGATTGAAAAGTTAAAGTCATCACGTTTATCATAAAGCTTGGTTGTTAGATTACCATTAACATCTTTTTCAAGTGAAATATCCAAATATGAAACAGATGTGTCAGACTCTGTGGTATCTTTTATCTCAAGTTCACCAGGATATATCGTATCAACTTAAGAATGAAAATAGCCATTGTTAATTGACAATACGCCGTCGATATATCTAAATGTCGAGTTGAATGCCACAGCAAGTGTTTTCTTCTTTTCACATACAAGGTTTTGGACAAATTCTGCTTCATATGAATACAAAAAAAGGTCTGCTAACAACGGGGCGCAATGGGTACCCATAGGAATTCCAATAGATTGTTGGAAGACCTGGTCTCCAAAAACCACATAGATATTGTCAATCAGAAACTCAAGCATCTTTTTAATGTCATCTTCAGAGTACTTGTGTGTACAATCAGAATGTTTTTTAACAAAATAATTTTGCAAATGACCAATGACAAGGTAAGTATATTTATGAGTTCCATTTTTATTGAAAAAGCAGCTGTCAATGATATCAAAAAGCCTGGACTTTAATTTATCGTGGGGAATGGTTGTGTATAAAGTTGAAAAGTCGTAAGTTTTTAAGCTGTTGATTTTGGTAAAATCTTGTGATTTCAAATTTTCCAAAAGTTCCTTGGAATTTTTAAGTATCCACATCTGATTGTATAAAGTAAATTTTTTATCCAGTCAAATACAGCATTACAAACAGAATTAAATTTTATATATATATATATATATATATATATATATATATATATATATATATATATATATATATATATATATATATATATATATATAAAACGATGTAATCTTTAAGTAATCTTTAGATAAAAACAATTTTGTTGTTGATTTATTTTTAAGAAAAATATTTTTGCGAATGCAATGCATGTGCAAATTTGCTAAAAATTTATCTACAGCAAAAACTTTCAGATTTACGATAGTTATTAAATGTCATTAATTTGGGTTATCTTACCCTGATTTTGCTTTTCTTCAGTTACTTATTCAGGTTATTAATACTTTACTATTCATTATTTTAAACCTACTGGTATCTGAAAAGTTTTATTCATGCTATGCTTGGTATTTAGTAAACAAAAAAGAGTCATGGCAGTAAAAGTAATCTATCTTTAAAATTTCACAAGTTGAAATTCAACATGTTATAACTTATTTCAGTTATTTCATCCTTAAGCCACTTTACTTTAGAACTCTTGCACAAAAATCTACAGCTTTGCACCAAATAAGGTCAGTCATAGAAATTGTACATTAATATCCAAGGATTTTAGGAAAATTATTCTCACTGTTGGCAAAATTGGCAGAAGTTGAGTAATTGACCACTGAAATGTTCTTGAAATGCAATTATTTTCCCCTGAAAAATATGATATTTTAATAAATATCATCCTATCTGCTCAAGAGATATCAAGTCTGTCAAGTCTATCAAGAGATGTACATGCAGAAGCAAACTCAAAATGTCGATGTTTTTGACAAAATTGATAGGCATTCTAATTTTTAAGAATCAACTCCAATGAGTTATTTTTTTTTTAATTTAGTCATAAATAGGTAAAGTAACCTAAAGTATAGAGGAGTAAAATCTTTAAAAGAATTCATTTCTCTAGATCAGCAAGACTACAATGTAGTCATTTTGATAACGAATCATCCCTATTTTGAATGTATTCCAACTGAGTTTAATCTTAATCCATTGGGGCTTAGATTGTTCAAGGGAATAAAGAAGGAATTGTTTGTTTAACTTTAGAAGAATAGGACCAGTGTGTATCAGGTGAGAAATGTGGCCAATGGGCCTGTTGGTTGCATTGAATGTAGCTTTTTGATGGTTAATCTTAAATTTTCTAGAACAACAAGCTAAATATTTGCAGCAATAGAGTTACTGAATAAAAATTACTTAAAATATCAAACAATTCAACATAAGCAGTTTTTACAAAACTTCAGTGAATTTCAGCCATTTTTTTTTCAAATTTTGTAGGATTCTCTCTGCATCAGTGTCATCTAGATTATTCTACAAGCTTTTACAAATCTAATATTTAACAATTTAAGAAGAATTTTATTAGAATCAAACATGGAGCACATTGAAAATGTCACCACAACTTCTAAACTTGATGGTGATGTTCTTGTTAAGGACCAGGCCTGTGAAATGGTGTACAGAAATGGTGAAGTTCTTGTTCAAGGCCAGGCATGTGAAATGGTGTACAGAAATGGTGAAGTTCTTGTTAATGGCCAGGCATCTGAAATGGCCTACAGAAATGGTGGTGTGCTTGTCAATGACCAGGCCTGTGAAATTGAGAACAGAAATAATGATGTTCTTGTTCATGACCAGGCTTGCAAAATGGAGTCTAAAACTGATGATTCAATGGAGCAGTTTAGCAGTTCTTGTATGGAAGTGATGATGAGTCTCGGGATTTATAACAACTTAAATGCAGGTTCAGGGAGTGGTCTACTTCGGGAGGAGGGCAAATATATTTCCTACAGTGCGAATTCCACTGAAAGTCATTTTTCAAAGGAAGAGAACAATAGTAAAGCAAGTAATTATGTAGAAGAAAAAGGTGTGAAAGAAAAGCCATATATATGCTCACTTTGTGATAAAGCGTTCAGCGTATCCCAGAGTTTAAAGAAACACTTGAGAGTTCATACTGGTGAAAAACAGCCTTATCTCTACAAGTGTCATCTCTGTCCAAAAGAGTATGTTAAAAACTCCACCTTGCGAATTCATTTCCAAAGGCATCACGCGGACTCAGAAGACAAACCTTTTAAATGTCCAGTCTGTGGAGAGTCGTTTTCTCTTCTGGCTGAGCAAAATCAGCATTTAAAACAACACAAAGATTACAAGCCAGTTACGTGTAACATCTGTGGAAAAGGATTCACTCGAGAAATGGGTCTTCATCTTCACATGCTGAATCACTCAGAAACCAGACCTTGGGGTTGTGACACTTGTGGCAAGACCTTTACATTCGAAATGCATCTACAACAACATCAGAAATCCAACTGTTTGAAGTTTTTTACCTGTGACATTTGTGGGAAAGTTCTTTCTTCAAAACAAACTTTAGTTTTGCATAAGATGATCCATACTGATGAGAAGAATTTTGAGTGTGAGGTGTGCACGAAGAAATTTAGGTCAAAGGGTTTACTTAAACGACACAGTCGTATACACACAGGAGAGCAGCCTTATGAATGCGAGGTTTGTGGAATGAGGTTCACACGCAAGCCTCCTTTGGTAGAGCACATGTCAACACATACTGGCAGTAAACTTCATCTTTGTGAAATCTGCGGGAAGGAGTTTAATTGTAGTACCTACTTTAAGGCACACAAGCGAATCCATAGTGGTGAAAAGCCTTATGAATGTCAAACATGTGGGCAAAAATTTACACAGTGTTCGCATTTGAGAAGACATGAAAAGATTCACATAAGGAATGCCTGGACTGCGGGAAGGTTTACAATTAGCTCTATAATTTAAAATGAATGGAAAGACACATTTTTCTGATGGTCATATAAATGAAGGGGTTGTGAAAATTTTAAAATTCAGACCTGGCAACCATTGAATTTTACATAGATTTTAATTGTTTTCACAATCTTTCATTTTCAATTACATGTATTTCTTATTCTTTCAATTCTTAAATTAAGACTTTGTTCAATGCTTAAGTGGTTATGATTATGATCAAGGACCGATGTGTCCAGATTATTACACTCTTCTATTGAAATTGGTTGGCAGGTCTGTAGAAGATATTCTTATTTGAATGTGTAGATGTAGATCCTTGACAATTTGAAATTATGTTCGACACAATAATAGAATTAAATTGAAGAAATATGTAGATGTAGGTCCATAATTATGATAATTTGAAATTATATATGGCACTTATGGCACTAAGATAGAATAAAATTGAAGAAATTAAGGTAGCTGTTTAAATTTTGGACCAAAATGAAGGATTTATAAACCTTCATAAACAGAAGAATAAGGAAGACTCGGATTAAAATTTGAAACGATATATATAAAGATATGAAGACAAAGAACAGTAATGAAGCTGAAAAGTCCATTAGAACAACAGGAATTGGGAGCAGCTCTAAAAACATCAGAGGTGGGATCAGGTGCCATGGAGGATAAAGCCCCTTCTGTCGACCAGTCACACCCGCTGTGTGCTTCTTGCAATCATCGGGCAAACGGTAAAATTCAGTGTGAAAATAATGAACTTACAATTTGTATGAACAAGGTCAGGCAACATTCGGTTTAACGATAGATTGTATTTGCTTACAAGGTCATTTTATCGACCATTACATGTATGTAAAATTTGCGAAATATTGACTTTAAACGGCACTGTTGATCATGTTGATATTCTCGTAACACCAACTTAAAAACTCCATATTCAGGAGATAATAGTGTATTGCTACATAAATAAGGGAAGTGGACGATAGAAAAATCGAAGTCATCGCTTTTATCTTACAGATTTGGTGTTAGTTTATCATTTTTCTTTTTCAAAAGTCAGACTTCGTGGTGTTATTTTGAGTTCAAAGGGATATACCGAATCAACATAGGAATGAAAATGAATATTTTTGACTGATAAAACGTCATAGAAAATACTAAATGTCGAAATAAGGCCACACGTAGAGAATTCTTCTCATATAGAAGTTTTTGAATAAATTCGGTTTCATATGAATATATATACATTTGTGGTATCTCTCTATTATATAAACATGCAGAGAGCAAATATCTTCATACCTGTATGAAGTTTTTCGAAGGTCATAGGTCATTACGTGACCTAATCACACAGCGCAGTAATATCTACATAAAAAGACTTACTCCACTAAGCAATATAGCATGTTTTTCATGCATAAAAATGTACAAAATACGCAAGTAAAATAATAATCATTTTATTTACAATGTAAACGAGTATTTAATACAGTTTTTGATCGGTTTTACATAGAGAATAGAAAACTACATGTTATAAGTTCCATGTCTGAGCTGCATAGTCTCAACGTTTACCCTTATTTTTCTCGCAGACCTCTGAATGCTATAATTTTTTTCCATTAAACTTTACTCACAATAAATTTGAAAATCTGTTGAAAAATATCAATGTAATGCAATCACGCCACAAACAGCTGACAAACATTGCACTTTGGAAGTTCGGTAGGCACACCTCCATCATCGAGATCGTTGTGACGTTGTCTTAACAATGTAAGCTGTCGCCAGTGTCTCCACGTCAACATCATAAATTAATAAATATGCCTTACTGAAATCGTAGATTTTATGTTTTTGATCAAATTTTGTACTTGATTTCAAGTTATCTGGTCCGGACAAGTGTCTCCATCCATCCCTTTCCGACCGAAATTCCTCCAACTTTTTATTATCAAACATCGGACGTGTTTCTTGTGTTTTTTAACATCGAATATGGGTTCTCATGAATACAAAATTCCCAGACACCAATATGCTCACTATAATTGATCACAAGTAGCCTTTCACAGAATATTCCCTTCAAAACAGAATCCTTTGCCAGATGAATTTGAAGCGTAACCGCTTTTCAAGCCGATTTACACCTAGCGTAATTTGTCAAAATCTACGACGTACAGTTAGTGCAATATTTATATTCGATTACATTCTATTGTCCGTCTCAAATGTATATATAAGTAATAAATAACAAGTTTAAAAACTTCAATGGGAATTGAAGTGGGTCGGTACGTGATCAAATCTTCTGAGAAGGCCTTCGGCCTTCACAGGATTTGATCACGTGACCGACCCACTTCAATTCCCATTGAAGTTTTTAAACTTGTTATTTATTTCTTAAATAAAAATAAGTCTGCTTATAACGGGACCATGGAAATTCCAACAGATTGTTGGAAGGCTAGATCTCCACAACTACACAAATATTGTCAATCAGAAACTCGAACATCCTTTTAATGACAACTTCGGAGTACTTGTGTGTACCACAGGTACTTGTGGACAGGACCCCCCCCCCCCAATACCCCATGGGTCAAAAATATTTTTATGTATTTTATTCTTCTAGTACACATTTACAATGTATTCCATAAGAAAAATCCAAAAAATAACGCAGAATTAACGATTTACTAAAAAATCATACCCGCGGTATTATAAAATATTTTATAATACCGCGGATATCATTTTTTAGTACCTGTGTTTTTTCTAACTTTTTTTTCCCGTCTTCTCCGTCTCAGAAGTTGTTGCGCATGTAAAAGGATTTTTTTTCATCGTTAAATCCATGTTGACAGGGGACAGATCTGACAACATAATGATCTCAACGTCGGAGAAATGCACGATTTATACAGGGTATGACGTCACGTTGCACATTTAGCTTTCAATCGCTGCCTAGTCTTGTGTACTGAGATGTAAAGAAAACGTAGCCTAAGACGTAGGTAAGACGTACCCTTTGCACACAACAATACTGGGTTTTTCCAGATTTACAGACAGGGGGTGTGGGTGTACTGGGTTGACCCGACTATACATGTATATCCTACAGGGGTAAAAAAAGTACACTCAGTTGACACGCCCAGCGCGGCTTGCTATACCGGTACTACTGAAAAAATATACAAACTGAGAGCAGAGCAATCAGTCAACCCCTAGCTGAAAACAGTAGCTGGCCATGGATTAGGTGCACATAATTATCGATTTCAAAATAAGGAAAACTTAATTTGAACGATAAATAATCTAGAGATACATCTCTTTCTACTCACCTTTCTGAACCATATGAGATATCCTTGAGTAAAAAAAAAAAAGAAATATAATTCCGTGACTAAGATCATAATTTATCAAGTTTTTTACTAGTTATTTATCCAAAGGGCACTAGTTGTTGTACCTAGTTATGTAAATATAGATAATCAAATAAATATCTTAATTAATAACAATATAGAAAGAATACAACTCCTCATTCTGTCTAACATGTCTATTGTATCTGATTCCTGCAGAGAGTCAACACAATCTACTTAACATATGGCATTGCTTTGCGTTCCTTACCTTGTGCTGACATTGATGAATTTAAGCCACAAGAGAATATAGTCAACACTGATGAAGAAATTAATTGTTTGTTTGTATTGAAAATTGCTCATAAAGCGGGACGTGCTATGGAAATTTTGAGATATTAATAAGATATGAAAATGTTAATGTTATTATGTAGCAAGATCTCAGTATCAAGATATTGAATAAATGTAAACTCTTGTGTAAAAAAAATCTGCATTAAAAAAAATACTAGGTGTTTCTATCGTCTTCTTTTTATGTGTTGAAATGCCTTCCGAGGTCATTGATATCTTGTATCATGTAAAGTCAGTGGACATAAGTATTTGTCACTGACGTCAAAATGGCGGCGATTTGTCTACATTAGCTACTCATCAAAAAACGCCCTCCTGAATTAAATTCTGAATGTCATTGTTTGTTTGTTTGTTGTTTAACGTCCCTCTCGAGAATTTTTCAGTCATATGGAGACGCCACCACTTGTCGGTGGAGAGCTGCAAATTTTGTCCTATTCTCGGCACTTACGGTCATTGAGCAGTGAGGGATCTTTTTCGTGCCAGCACCTACTGCGACACGGGACCTCGGTTTATACGGTCTCATCCGAAGGACCGGTCTCCACGTCCCACAGTGGGATTCGAACCCGCGACGTAAGGATCAACTCCTTACTTCGCGACTCTAGAGCATTCTGAAAGATGTAACTTCAGTCAGGAAATTGTAGAGCAAAAAACAGGTTAACAGGTAACAAATAGTTTCCTAATTTATCTATCTTTTTTTCAGAGATGATATTTTAATTTACACTTGTCAAAGTTCCTGTAACTCTGTAACATATACCACCCGACATCAAAACAGAAAGTTGGGTCTTCGATGGGGCATACACGAGATGGGGGTTGCAAACGATTATTATTTTCAAAAATCAGCGAATACCTAGTTTTCCAGTGATGATCTGCAGTCCAATTCTGTCGTTTCTTACTCCATGATATTTTTTTTTTTTTTTTTTTTTTTTGCATCGAAGGACAACCATTTGCTTTTTTTATATTCCATATTAATTGTTTTCTCTTCACTGAAAATAAAGAAAAACCCCTTCCTTAATTTTTGTATTTGCTAATTCATCTTAAGTTTCCTTCCTGTTATTTTTCACCAGTTTTGAAATTTTGTCTCAGTGGAGCACGGCGAACTCGGGTTTTCTTCCAGATCTATTCTACACTGCCGAAATCTTCATTTTTTCCCATAAAAATTAAGTAGTTGTTCTTGGAATTCCAAACAATCTACCTATATTTGATGTCTACCACCACTTGCTGTGGCCTTCTGTCACGTGGTCAAGCTGGCTATCTCCAAAAATCACACAAATTCAACTAAGTTTTAACAAATTTATTTACAAAAAAATAAAAATAAAGAAGATTTCAAACAAACAACCATGCTCTGATCCACACACTCTTCCACACTACCAAAAAAAAAAAAAAAAAAAAAAAAAGCAATTGGTAACCAATAAACAAACAATTAACCAATTAACCTATTAATCAATTAACCAATTAACCCCGGGTATAGATTTCACTCAAAGTATCAATGCCAAACATGTTCACAGATCAATGATTATCCTTGTCATCATCAACATCATCTTCGTCAACATCATCATCCTCATCCTCGATGCAGGAATGAAATCATACATCAGATTTGCCAATTCCTCAGTGTTCGTTTAACCTGTTAACGAGCTAATACACTGTTACGTGGATTGACTTATCTGTATCTGTCCACCATCACTGAATCTTGACCCACACACAGCATCCTTCCGGCCTTAGTCCTGGAACCTTTTTGCTGTGTCTCGACGATCCCCTCAGCTTAGTGCATGTATCCAGCACA